CTCTCAAGCAGTGCCTGCAAGCCTCGGGAGCCTCTCAAGCAGTGCCTGCAAGCCTCGGGAGTCTCTCAAGCAGTGTGAGCCTGGCCTCTGCTCTCTTTGATCACTCTCGAGGTGCAGAGAGCCATGCAGCCCCTGGGAGAAGCGGGCCCTTCGAGGTGCCTTCCAAGGGTTTGGTGTTTTCCTCAGACCTGGTATCAAGATTCAGATTTGATCATCGTAGTCCTGACTCATAAGATGAATTAGAAGTCTCTTGACTCTTTTTTTTCTGAAATTTTAAAAATGAAATACTTTTACTGGGGGCTCTTACAGCTTTCATCACAATCCATACATTCATCCATTGTGTCTTGACATTTTTTGCCTTACTTTTACAGGATTTTTTTTGGCAAAGTATTTATTTGTTTTTTATTAATCATTTTATTGGGAGCTCTTACAGATATTATAGCAATCCATAATACAGTTAGATCAAGCATAATTTTACAATTGCTATCACCATCAGTTTCAAAACATTTTATTTTTTATTGAACTCTTTGTTATCAGATTCCCGTTATCCCTTCCCTTCCCCACCCTACTCCCAATAACCCTTATTATTATATATTATTATTATTTGCCGTATCTGACACCATCCAATGTGTCCATTCACCTGCACTTCTGTTGTTTGTTCCTCTCGAGTGGGGTTATACCGTCATCATCGCTATCAGCTCCCCCATTCCCTCCTTCCTCCCTTCTCTTCCTATACCCTCTTGGTATCATTATTCCTGTTCCTTTGTCTGAAGGGTTATCTATCTTGGCTTTAATGCATTGAACACTCTTAATTATACAAAGGAACATACACAAGTCTAGCATGATAAACGAGGTAAGTCAGACCATCCTAGTAAGGGGAGGAAACCCTAAAGAGCTAGAGGACAGTTATGTGTTTCATCTGTGCTATACCGCTCCCTAGTGTAGCATTCCTTCCATGTGGCCCTTCTGTGAGGGACTGTCCAATTAACCTGTAGATGGGTTTTGGGTCTCCACTTTGTCCATGTTCCTTCATGTCAATTTGATTGTCTGTTCTTGAATTTTGGATACCTGATCCCTTTGACACCTTGTGATCTCACAGTCAGGTGTGCTTCTTCCAGTTTAGCTTTTTTGCTTCCCTGCTAGATGGCTGCTTGTTTCCCTTCAAGCCTTGAAGACCCCAGATGCTATATCTTTTAATAGCCGGACACCATAAGCTTTCTTCACCACATTTGCTTATGTACCCATTTTATCTTCAGCGATTGTGTCAGGAAGGTTGGTGTCATAGAGTGCCACATTATTAGAACAAACCATTCTTGTACTGGGGTAAGATTTAGGTAGAGGGCCCAAAGTCCATCTGATTCCTTGTTGTATTTACATATATATAAACATACATAGGCAAATACACCTATCTTTATATATTTACATATCTATATACATATATATATTTTTAGCTTTCTTTTTCTTTCATCCTGCCCCACCATGTTTACCCATCATTCACCTTTCAGTAATTTCTCTTGTACATTTCAATTGACCAAATGCGACCACTGTCAGTTTTAGAACTCTTGCTATTCTCCTGGCTCTGTTGTTATTAGCTCACTATTCACACTTTTACAGGTTTTAAAATTTTTATTTTAATGTTTTACTAGGAAGTCATACATATCTACATCTGAAATAACAAACCCATAGAGTCGGGGCAGAATGTAGAACCGAGCCAGCCCATGCATCATACCCAAAGAGCTTGTAATTGCATGGGAGCCTCTGTGCCCCTTATCGCAGAATCAGCACATCACTCCCTACCTATCATCGGTGGGTCCCTTGTATGCAAGCCTTTGTGGTGTTGGGGTGCAGCTTTGTGAAGGGGGCTCAGCAGTCTCCCAGAGGTGAGAGCTCATAGTTGGCCTCTTCATTAGAAGCTCAGTGTGTCACAAGTACTTTCTGCCGCCACATCATGAAAGCAGGGGGACGATAATCCCATGGCATTTCATTTGCGGTGCACAGAGTGGGCATTTGATGGATTCTGTAGTCAGCAACGCCCGCAGTCAGTGGAGCAATAGAAGGCATGGGTTTGTGTGCAGCTTCTCATGGCTGGAGTGCACAGGACTTCTGTGTGCCTCAGTGTTTCCTTTGGCAAGACAAGGATAGTGCTGTTTTGTCAAGGATAATATGAGAACCAATGAGACGGTTTAAAAAGTGCTTGGGAAGTGAAAGTGTTGCCATCCTTAGAAGAGAGAAACTGCTCGGGGTTTAAGGTGGTACGTCATTCCCTCGCTCCCCCTATGTGATGATTTTGGTGTGCGTTGCTCTGTAGACAGTCTGGAGTGTCTGACTACTATGCCTTGGATGACCTGCATGCCCTTCACTTGACCAGGAAGGTGGTGAGGAGTCTCAACTATCAGAAGACCTTGGATGTGAGTAGGGTTGTGTCTTGACATCTCGTCTTTCTCCTGGAAGGCCTTTTAGCTTATGGCACCCTGGAATGGTGTCTTTAGCAAGGTTAATACTATTTTCCTATATTTCCACAGGTCACCATTGAACCGTCTGAAGACCCATTGTTTCCTGCTGATGAATTATATGGAATTGTGGGTACTAACCTGAAGAGGAACTTTGATGTTCGAGAGGTATGTGAAAATGGGCATGTGAGCTATGAATTAATTGTCTGCCTATCTCCTTAACTGTCTACCTGTTTTCAAAGCTAAATTTCATTAGGATGTGTTCAAGGCTAGAGACTGACAGATCTCAGTGAGGCGGGATGTGGACAGGAAAGAGCTCTCCATAGTGTAGGTGTCTTTGGGAAATTGTAAATACTCAACCCCGAACCCATCGCCACAGAGTCAATTCTGACTCATCAGGACCGTCCATAGGACAGCAGAACGGCTCTGCAGGGTTTCTGGGTCCACCGTTACATTTTTACAAGAGCAGACAGCCTCTTCTTCCTCCCATGGAGCCACTGGTGGGTTTGAACTGCTAACCTTGTGGTTTGCAGCTCAGTGCTTAACTGAAGAGAGGGGCAAAGTGCTCCTACGATACTGTTTTCATCAACAGTGACAAAGCCCAGTGTGTTCCTGTCCTTGTCCTGTCCTGTCCCAATGTCAGCCACGTGTGTGAAGTCTGTTTATTTGAGGGAATGGAAGGCGTCACCAAGTTGTTGGAGTGGGAAAGAAGATAGAACCCTTTCGGATCAGTGTGACATTAACAAAGATTAGACTGGCTGTGCCAGCGGAAGCCGTTGCTGTGGTTACAGATGGTCGAGCTGCTCTTCTGTGATCTCGGGGACGGTTTTTAGTGTTTGCATGTAGCATGCAGGCTTTTATTTTGCTGTCTCCATAGCTGCAAGAAAGAGCTCTAAATTGGGAGAGTATCTTCGTGTCATGATCCGTGCTAGAAATCTTAATATTTTGTGCCAACAGCTTTTTTGTCACATACTTCCATACTTTCCCCTTGACTGTTGTGTACTAATTGTGAACAGTTTTTAAAATGTGGGAAACACCCCAAATTCCACCATACAGAAGCAAAAGCAACTAATATTTTGATGTTTTGCCTTCATATGTATATATGTGTGTATTTTACATGCTTAAGGGGGGCTCAAAAAGTCCATGGAAAAATTCTGTTATCTTCTGATTTCATTTTTCCATGAACTTTTTGAAGCCCACGCGTGTTTTCTGTATGTGGTGAAATTTAAAAAAAATAACAACTTCACAATGAATTTGTTTTCCTTAAAGATAACTTTAACACATTTATTGTGCAATGCAATTTCTCAGGGACATTTTTAGGTAGTTAGAGTGCGCGCGTGTGTGTGTGTGTGTGTGTGTGTATATATGCATATACATGCACACATTTTTTGGTAATGGAGTTAGCATCTATAAAGCATGCATTAAACATGTTCTTAGAATACTAAATTAAACTATTTCCCCATCTAATGGAAAGATCGTCATGAACTGTTTCTGGTGTGTGTAATGATACGGGACGTACCCCGGTGGGGTAGCAGTTTGTGTAGGGGGCTGTCCACCGGAAGGCCAGCAGTTAGAAGAGTCATGGTCTCAGACACCCGCCGGGCAGTCTGACTCTGCTCTCGAGGGCCACTGTGAGTTGGAATCCACTCAATAGCAGTGAGTTAATAGCACCTGGCAAGCATTCATTAAATACTGTATATACTCGAGTATAAGCCGGGGTTTTCAGCGCATTTAAAAAAAAAATCATTTTATTAGGGGCTCATACAACTCTTATCACAATCTATACACAAATCAATTGTGTAAAGCACATTT